GGAGGGAGGGGGGCGGGCGGGCAGGGGGGGTGATGGGCCATGCCGCCTCTGCCTCCTCCTCCTCCTCCTCCTTGCAGGTCCTCTCCTTGGGCGCCGGCCTGGACTCGCTGTACTTCTGCCTGAAGGACCGGGGCCTCCTAGGGCGGGCCACCCTCTTCCTCGAGGTGGACTTCCCGGCCGTGGCGGCCCACAAAGCGGCCCTGAGCAGGTCCTCTCCTTGGGCGCCGGCCTGGACTCGCTGTACTTCTGCCTGAAGGACCGGGGCCTCCTAGGGCGGGCCACCCTCTTCCTCGAGGTGGACTTCCCGGCCGTGGCGGCCCACAAAGCGGCCCTGATCGCAGCGCGGGAGGAGCTGGCCGCCATGGTGGGAGGCAGAGCTCGGGAGCAGGAGTCCGGTAAGGTGACCGGGCTGCGTGCCTGCCCCCCGGGGGGGGGGGACGCCCCAGGGAAGGGCTGACGACCCAAGGCTGCCAGCCCTGTGGCTTTGCAAGGGTGGGTAGGCAGGCAGGCAGGCAGCCAGGTGGGCTCAGTGGAGGGCAAGAGCTCCCCTGTTTGGGAGTCAGCTGTTCCCGAGCTGTCAGGGTTCAGATGCCGGGGCATCCTGGACAGATTGCCGCTCTGTGAATTGGGATCAAGTAGCCAGGACGGAACCTGGGACTGAAACGTCTTGGCTTCTCAGGTCCCAGCACTGAATAGGAGATGCTTGTATTGGTTGGAACAGTATGAAATGTGAAACAACTAACTGCCTTGATTGGTTGGTGCACTAGATAGGAGGCAGAATCGAATGGCTGCTCTGCTCACAAACTCTCGCGTGTGCAGAGGAAGGTTTTCTGTCCAGAGGAGCACAACTTTTTCTTGCGTTGTTCAGACCTTTGCCCCTGTGGTGACGGGCGTCTCCTAGTGCTGAGAACGCTGGGCAGCGTGTCGCGCTTGGTTCATAGGTTGCTCTCATGAAGGTTGATAATGCTGTGGTCATTGTTTCCTAGGAGCTGTTCATTTTGCAGGAGAAGATTACAGATTGCTGGGGGTGGATCTTGCTGAACTTCCAGAGCTGGAGGAAGCCTTGCACTGTGCGGGCCTAGACCCCCAAGCGCCCACCCTGCTACTAGCAGAAGTGGCACTTACGTATATGGAAGTCGAAAGGTATGGGGCATACCCTGTTTTCTGTGTCAAATAATGGCCACGTACTTAAAGGCCTTAGAGGCACTGTGATGGATATGTCCTCGATACTACAGAGTCAAGTTAGTGTACTGCTGTGAGTGCCTTGAGGGAGCATGATATTGTTCCACTACGGAAGTAAAGTAGACCAGAACTTTTGTGTGTTTTGCGCGGGTCAGTGAGCTGTAGGAAAAGCACCATGAATGAGAGAGACAGTGTGGGCTGCTGGTGTCATTAAAGAAACTGCTGAGTTGTTTATGACCAGCAGTGGTATGCCCATGTGCACATATGAGAAATGTACAGCAGGAAGGGCTATTTCCCGGGTGAAAATCAAGAACGGTTCAGGTCGTTGTACATGTGTTGGTTAAACACCCGAGAGCTTAAAAAAAGAGTCCTGGTGGATCAAAGCGTTCAGTGCCTGAATCTGCCTTATACTGAATCAGATCAGTATTGTCTACTCAGAATGGCAGTGGTTCTCCAGGATCTCAGGCAGAAGAGGTCTTTCACATCACCTGCTACTCGATCCTTTCAATTAGACATCCTGGGGGTTGGACGTGAGGAGGGGTCTTCTGCGTGTCGAGGAGATGCTCTCCCGCCAAGTCACAGCCCCTCCCCAGTCGTCCATCTGGTCCAGCACCCTAACCCTCACGCGGGGGCTGAGAGGCCTTCCTCAGATGTTGCCTCCTGGGACTGATATTCAGAGACTGACTGCCTCTAAATGTGGACATTTCCTTAAGTCACGGTGGCTGCTAGCCACTGATAGAACTATTTCCGTGGATCTATCTAGTTGGGTTTTTAAGCCATCTATGCCTATGGTCGTTGCTACATCCTCTGGCAGGGGAGTCCACATTTTAATCACTGGTTACATTAAAAAGTATTTCCTTTTGTCTGTCCTGAATCGATGGCCCATCAGCTTCATTGGATGCTCCAAGTTCAAGTGTTTTATGGGAGGGAGGAAAAAATCCTGGTCTGCTCTACACCGTGTCTCCCTCCCCCTTAGCTGTCTGTCTGTCTGTCTGTCTCTCTTTTTTAGCGTGTTAAGGTTCTTCAGGCTTTTCTCATAGAAAAGGTCCTCAAATCCTCCTGGTTGTCTTCTTATTTTCCAGTTCTGCAATATTCTTGTAATATGTGGTGACCAGAAATAATCACATGTAGTAACTGTAAAAGTCTTAGAGTCATAAGAACATAAGAGACGCCAATGTTGGATCAGGCCAGAGGCCCATCCAGTCCAACACTCTGTGTCACACAGTGGCCAGAAATACCAGTGCCATCAGGAGGTCCAGCAGTGGGGCCGGGACACTAGAAGCCCTCCCACTGTTGACCCCCCCCCCCAAGCACCAAGAAGACAGAGCATCACTTGCCCCAGAGCCCCTAGCTATACCTTGTGGCTAATAGCCACTGATGGACCTCTGCTCCATATGCTTATCTAATTCTCTTTTGAAGCCGTCCATGCTTGTAGCCGCCACCACTTCCTGTGGCAGTGAATTCCATGTGTTAATCACTCTTTGGGTGAAGAAGTACTTCCTTTTATCTGCTCTAACCCGACCGCTCTGCAGTTTCATGGAGTGCCCATGAGTTCTCATATTGTGAGAAAGGGAGAAAAGTACCTCTTTCTCTTCCTGCTCTTTCCCATGCATAATCTTACAAACCTCAATCATGTCACCCCTCAGTCGTCTTTTCTCCAAGCTAAAGAGCCCTAAGCGCTTTAACCTTTCCTCATAGGGAAAGTGTTCCAACCCTTTTATCATTCGAGTTGCCCTTTTCTGCACTTGGCAGAGGGCATTCTTATTGCTCAGCTGCGCCGTCTAGTTCAAGGAACAGTTCTCCCACCCCAGCTACAATGCATTTTGAGGTGTTTGTGGCCCTTCTAGACTTTTCCATGGCCTCGTATGGTGTGATGGGCATGGTCACTCTCTTTTTATTTATTTGTTGTTACGTATGTCACGGAATCGGTCCTTGGCCTAAAACTCTGCCAGACCTCTGGTATACCTATAACACTTTTAATTTCTATAGCAGCAGTTTGCCTCTATCATTGAAACTGTGGTTCTGTTCCTAGGGGGCTTCAGGCTGCTGCTGTGTGCTGTGTGTGGCCTTCAGGACATCACTGTGCCCGACTTTGCCTCGCATGACTTCTGCGTTCTGGAAATGTTTATACTTTGCAGAAGTCAGAAGTCACCATCAAATTCTAAATAGATAAAGTATCTGAAAACCAGCTTCCTGGGACTCTCCTGGTCAGCCTTGACTCTCTGAGTCGACCTCGCTTAACCCTGACTTTCCTGACCCCAGAGATCAAAAGAAAGGGGCTGACTTTGTTGTGTACATCAGATGTTTATCACAGACTTGACTGACACTTATAGTCGTTTCTGTGGGCGAAAGAGGGTACTTAATGTCTGAATTTAGTCTTGTTCCTGGTTGTTCTGATCAACCACCCTGCCATTATGGGTCTTGGCAGAACAACTAAGGATATGCTTTATAGGATTATATAAGTGCAGTGTTTTACATATTGGGGTTGTGTTGAAATATTCTGTGTTGAATATTGAAATGCTACAAAAATGTTTTCTGACTTAAGAATGTGTAATGGAATAAATTGAGTTTTGGTTTAGAACAACTCTCTCTCTTTTGATGCAATTGGGAAGCCAGCTTCTCTCCCTCCCCAAAATGAACACAGTGGGAATGAGAGTGCATGAAAAGTTTCCTGCACCCCTCATTTCCCCAATATGGTATTGTTTGCCTTTCTCACTTGGATTCAAGGCAGATTACACAGAGTGAGTCAAGACAATCGACGGATAGGACGTTCTGTAAACAGTGCGGTAGGACTAGGGTTGTAGAACCAACCGGGATTGTTTTCTTGGGATTGAAATGGTTAGTTTTCATTCATGTGAATCTGTTGTTCTGTTCTTCTTTCAGTTAGCTTGTGCTATGCCAGGAGATTACCCAGGAAGTGAGTTATCTCCTGTTGTGGATGGGGTTGCGCTTGCCTTAAAGGAGTACGTTCATAGCTTAGGGGCTGTGACTCAGTGGTAAAGCACCTGCTTGGCATGCAGACGTTCCCAGATCCAATCCCCGGCATCTCTAGAGAAAAGATTTGTGCTAGGTGATGTGAAGGACCTGTGCCTGAAACCTTGGAGAACCACTGCCAGTCTGAGTAGACAATACCGATTTTGATGGACCAAGGCTCTGATCCAGTATAAAGCACTTTCATGTGTTCTCCTGGATCCAGGCCTCTTGTTAGAAGAAGAAGAGAAGAGATTGTATTTATACCCCGCCCTTCACTTGGAGTCTCAGAGTGGCTTACAAACTCCTTTCCCTTCCCCTTCCCACAACAGACGCCCTGTGAGGTGGGTGGGGCTGAGAGGTGGGTGGCTCTGACACAAACTGCTATTTTTCAAGGACAGCTGTGCCAGAGCTTGTGACTGACCCAAGGTCACATCAGCAGGTGCAAGTGGAGGAGTGGGGAATCAAACCCGGTTCTCCCAGATTAGAGTCCACACACTTAACCACTACACCAAACTGGCTCTCTGTTAGATATGCATATATGGCGGTAGTTGCCGGGGAGCCTTCAGCTGGTGAACCAGCCGCGGCTCTTCCTGGACAGAAGAGATCTTGCCACTGTGGTGTATCGCCTGGTAACGTGTGGATTGGATTACTGCGGTTTGCTCGGGGGGGGGGGATGCTCTTGAAGGCTGTTTGGAAGCTACAGTTGGTATAGAATACTATGACCAGGGTGTTGATTGGAGTGGGCTGTAAGGACCATACCTCTCTAGTCTTGCTCCAACTACACTGCCTCCTAGTTTGTCTCTGGGGTCAATTAAATGTGCTGGTATTGCCTTTAAAAGGCCTTGTGTGGCCTGGGACCAAAGTGCTTGGAGGACTGAGCCTTTTTCCAAAAGAACTTTGTCCTGGGAGGCCCAGCTTTGGTTGCTCCACCCTCTGAGGCTAGGCAGGTGGCAACCAGAGAAAAGGGCCTTCTCTGTCATGCCACCAAAAATTTGGAAATCCCTCCCCCCGGAAGATTCATCTTTCTCCCTCGATCGGTGTCTTTTACCAGCAGGTGGAGACTTGGGGGGGGGTTTGGGTCCGTTTGGCACACCCCCAGCAATGATAACTGGCTCTTCTTTTAGTGTTACTTATTCATGGATTTTTGATTGAATTTTATATTTTAACTGTATTTTAATTCTTATTTGCATTATTTATATTTTACTATATATAGCTACCTTGTGGACCCTGATTAGGTGGAAAAATGGCATAAAATATTTTAAATAAATAAAATAAGGTATGCTATAGCTGGTTATTTTTATTTGCTCCTGCTAGAAGTGTTTTAGCGTTAATGCTGCTTTTTGGGTTATAGTTGATTGTGTGGCTGTGACTGCTACATTTTTTAGACGTTTAGAGGCTGTAGATAACTTAAAAGCTGCCGTATCCCTTTCCTCCCGTGATGGTGTGTGCTCCAGGTCAGACGCCCTGATCCAGTGGGCAGCCAGGCATTTCTCACAGGCGTGGTTCGTCCTCTATGAGCAGATCCATCCCGGCGATCCTTTTGGACACGTCATGCAAAACCATTTCAGACAGTGCAACGCGCAGCTGTGCTCCTTGGCCCAGTACCCTGACCTCAAGGCCCAGCGGATGCGCTTCATGCAGGAGGTTGGTGCAGGGCTCGTGGAACCTGGGAGAGGCAGGGGGAGCGAAGAGGGTGCCGTTTTCGTAAAGGACCATGGTATTTGGTGGTAGGGTTTGTACGCTGCTTTTCAGCTGTAACGGTGAGCAGAACCGTCTACAAGAACAAAACCAGTGGATGGATTAGGACGAAACCCATTGACGTAGTGTGTATAACATACTGGGGGGGGGCGCGGGTGTCAGGTTCCCAGTCAAATCACTCTCTACACACGCTTTGGCAGTGAATGCTTTATTTAGAGATAAGAGATGCTGTGGGTTCAAGCTCTTTGTTAGGACTGATTTGCAAAGGCGGGAAAGGACAAGATATTGGTAAAACCCCCAAAATTCCATGCACACCAACGTCAGCGTTACTACAGTGACTCTGAAAGACATACAGTCACCATCTAGCCAGGCACAGTCTTCTCCAAGGACATTTCTCGTGTGAAAAATGTCTTGGGGCCCCCTTAGGAAAGTTACCAAGCAATCCTCCCTAGCAAACTACACACACCCCCCCCCCCCAGGAATTTAATGGCAAACGAGAGCAGCGATAAGAACATGGAATACAAGCAGTGTAAATCAAGCATGGGCAATGCAACCCATCCAGCCAGCCTGTTCCGGTGTTAGGCACTTGAGGGGGATGCCCTGGGTCCCACAACCTCAACTGGCACCCACTCCACTACAGAGTCCAGAATGTATAAGCCTCAGAATTGCTTCCCAGGATAACAGAAATGTGCTTGGTTCGAGTCCAGTCGCACCTTGATGACCAGCAAGGTGATTCTCAAGGGTCACACTTGAGCGTAGCTCTTCTCCTGCAGATCAGCACAGCTGCCCACCCAGGACTGTCTTGCGTAAGGAGAAACTGCAAGTGCTGTTGCAGCTGATTTGTATAGTTTAGGCTTTGCATCTTGTTCTTTCCAATACTTAAGACTATTCGGACTTTTTTCTTTTACTGAGGCGAAGCTCAAGAACAAGAGGTTATCAGAAACGCGTGCATAACTTTGAGGCGTAGATCAGGGCCGCCATCGGGGTGGTGCAACATTTCTGACCGAAAAGTAGTCATGTTTAGTTTATCTCTTGGAATGTCTCACTTCAGAAATCCCAGGTTAGCTCATGAAGTTGAACTTCTTTTCTGGCCTCAGCTGAGAGCACCACAAAGCTATACGGGGTATTTTTAATATCAGCCATTTTATATTCGACCCCTTTCCTAATAATCCCTGACATAAAAGTTTGCCTTTTTCACCGCTGCAGCACACACTGGTGGGTTGACGCTTTCATTGAGCTCTCCCCACCACGACCCCCGAGGTCTTTTCCCCTCCCAGTCTCAGCGAGTTCAGAGCCCCCCGTTAGCCTAGACTTGGAGGCTGAGAGTTTGTGTCCCAGTGGGCATCACCTCTCACTGATCAACACTGAACTTAATTTGACCACATTGTCACCCGCTCACCCTCTTCACAGTCAGCCTTGGTTTTCACCACCCTGCATGGTTTTTGTGTCATCTTCACACTTGGCCCTCTGTGCAGAGATCACCCACAGTTTCAGATCATATGTGAACAAACTAGATAGCACCGGCCACAATACCAGTCCTTCTGGGGCTCTGCTGCTTACTTCTCTCCATTGTGAGCATTGTCTGTGTACTGCTGTTTGCTTTTCTGTTGTTTAACCAACATTAATCCCTAAGAGAACCCGTCCTCTTATCCCGTGACTGCTGAATCTACTCAGATATCTGTGATGAGACACCTTGTTAAAACCCTTTTAAAAGTCCGAGTATGCAATGTTTACTGGGTCACCGTTATTTGCATACTTGTTCAGTTTCTCCAAGAACTCCAAATGGTTGGTGAGGCAGGACTCCCCTTTGAAGAAGCCATGCTGATTTTTCATTCAGCTGGCTTTGTCCCTCTGTGCGCCTAATAACTCCATCTTTGATTACAGTTTCTACTGATATGTCTGGGGCAGATGTTACAAAACAAATGTGGACAATCACGACCTTATCTAGAAACAAATACTGAGAAAACAGTCGTGAGAGTCTGACCCACAGATCAAGATAGTCAACAACAAGACTTACAAAGAAAATATTTTTTATCTATTGTTGCCAATAAACACTACATAACAATGAACAAATTCCATCAAATCATAAGAAAATCCTTGTATAAGAATGCATCAAGGTTGTCTCTGGATTTTATAACAATGTTTCAAAAACAGATCTTTCTCAGGAAATATTTCTATAAAGTAGTACAAGAGCTTTCATGCTCGTTCGTGTTCGTTCAATACAACTTAACACAATACAACTTAACACAATACAACTTAAAACTTTCCTGGTGGGAATGGGCACAATTAAAATCAACATACCAAAAAGACTCGAAAACAGGATTCTACGTAGATAAGACAGAGTTAGATAAGATTTGGTTGTCCTCCAATGATAAAATGGTTCAAAAGGTATATAGAATCTTACTAGAAGAATATACAAAAGAAGAAGGAGAGAAGAAAAATATTGCTGCATGGACGCGAGATATAGGTTATGAAATACAAACAGACAAATGGTTAAAGATGTGGAAGCTAATTAAGGTTATGAGGGCAGCTAGCTTCAAAGAAAACGTGTTCAAAATGTATCATAGATGGTACTGGCCGCCAGAAAGAATAGCCAAATGCTATGCTAACTATCCCAACACTTGCTGGAAATGTAAAACAAGTGTTGGTACCTTTTACCATATGTGGTGGCAGTGTCCAAAAATGCAAAAATTTTGGATATGTATACAGAAAATGATACAAGAAATATGTAAAGTGAAACTGGATCTAGTGCCAGAGATATTTTTACTTAACCTACTTCCGGAAGGTATAAACTATAACGGTAAACATGTGATATTATATACAATAACTTCAGCAAGGATTTTGTGGGCAAAATATTGGAAGCAAGATGTCACTCCAAAACAAGAGGAAGTGGTAAAAAAATTGATGAAAGTAGCAGAAGTAGACAAGCTAAACCTAATTTTACAAGGGAAATATGATGAACTTTTTGAAAAGAGATGGGTGGGAATGTATATATGGTTAGAAAATGTATAAATGACTCGAAGATGTATGTATATTTGAGAGTTTAAGATGTACAAAAAAACCAACAAATAAAACGTTAAAAAAAAAAGCTTTCATGCTCATAAATTGCTATAGACAGAATCAGGAGAAGTAACGCATTTAGTGGTAGGACACTGACTTGAATACTTTTGAGACCAGCATCCTACCACTAAATGTCCCTTCCTGCGCTGTGCTTCTGAATGCTCTCTGAGTTTGTGTCTGCTGCCTGATATTTGATCAGTGTTTCCGTGTCAACAGTTTCACAGCAGCTGTAAAACTCTGTGTTCTGGGCCAGGTCAGAAGTGAATAAGTGCATCACAGGACTCTTGACAGCTACCCATAAATGGTTTAAATTTGTAAAGAAAAAAAAGTCATGTTAGTCTGTAGTAGCAGAATAAAATTAGAGTCCTGTAGCTCCTTAAAGACCAACAAATGTGTATCGACTGTAGACGTCCTTGAGCGCCAATGCTTGCTCTGTCAGATTTGACAAAGGGTGCTTTGGCTTGTGAAAACTTCTACCCTGGAACGTTCTGTGGTCTTCAAGGGGCTGCTGGACTCGGATTTTGTGCTGAGAAAAGGAGGAGGCCTCTGTTTCCTTGGCTCCTTCGTTCCCCACTCACTTAGAACCCTTGCTGTTCTCTCTCTCTAGGGCTGGGCTGAATGTCACGCCATGGACATGAAGGAGTTCTATGACCGCTTTGTCTCTGAAGATGAGCGGCGGAGGATCCAGGCCTTGGAGCCCTTTGACGAGTTTGAGGTGATCTTGGGCCTTCCACCCCTGCTGCTGCGGAGGTGGGGCTTCAGGGCCCTTGAAGGTGGCGGGAGGGGGGGGAGGTGTGGCCACACGTGTGTCCGCTGGGGCTGTAGTGGCTGAGGGAGCAGGTGCTCCGGGAGGGAGGGAGGGAGGGAGGGGGCGGCCGGCCCTCTGTGCTACCCGTGGAGCCCAGGTGTTGGTCGTGGCCGGCCGGCTGGCCCTTGCTTGCGTGTCTTTGCCGCTGCTATCTTTGGTTCTGGCGGCGGGACATTTCCCGAGCTCAGGAGGCGTTTTGGCCACGGAGCTGTCCAGGCAGGGAGCCCCTCGGGTGACCCAGTTGCCTGCCATGTGGGGGTCTGGCGGAGCGGGTGGCAGTGCCAGAAGAAAGCTCCCTCTGGCCGCTGACTCCCTGTTCGGGTCTCACTGGCTGCACTTCTGCTGTGTGGGCCTTAAAGCCCACCGGCCAAGGAGTTTTGAGGTAAGCTTTCTGGCCATAGGGTACCTGAAGGGCTGACGTCGAGAGGGTGCTGCGGAGTTGTTTTCTGTTGCCCCAGGAGGTCCGGCAGGAACCAACGGGCTGAAATTAAATCAGAAGAGTTTTCAGCTGCCCTGACCTGGATAGCCCAGGCAAGCCGGATCTAAGCTAAGCAGGGTCGACTGTGGTTCGTGCTTTTGGATGGGAGACTTCCCGGAAGGCCAGGCCGGGAGGATGGTGGTGGTGGGGGGCAGGCTTCATTCTGCCACCTCTCTGGATATCCTCCAGGCCCCCACTAGGGGTCAGTCTTACCAGAGGTCACCGTGACTTCCAGGGGCAGGTGCAGGTGCACACAGGCAAATACAGGAATACCCCCCCCTCCCAGAAGTTTTCAGCTAAATGTGCCCAGTTCTTGTGGCCCTTTCTTACACACCCAGGGAAATGCCGATCGCCACTTTGGCGTCAGGATGCCATTTTTCTCCAGGCCAGTTTGGCCCTGGGGATCCTGGAGGTTTTTTTGTCATCTTCTGGGCATGGAACAGCGGTCACTGGGAGGTACTTGTGAATTTCCTGCCTTGTGCAGGGGGTTGAACTAGATGACCCTGGAGGTCCATTCCAACTCTGTGATTCTGTGATTTGTTAGTGGAAAGGCTGTTTAACCCTTCCTGTTCTGCAGTAAAACTAGCTGAGATCCTCTGAGCCTGTTTAGAACTAGAACTAGCTACAGCAGAGTAGCTTGAGCAGCTGCAGCCAAACTAGCATTAGGACTGGTCTGGAGAGGGACGCCTCCCCTTGCCTCTTTCTGGCGGCTCCGCAGGGCAGAATCGGTGGATTTCCAACCCCATCTTATGGGCCTGGTGGAGATGGCGGGGTGTGTGTGTGTGTGATTGTGCAGACTTCTTGGCTCCCCCCCCCCTTTGAGCCATCCTTGGCAGAGGCCTGGCAAGCTGGTGCCCTGGTTGAGCCTTCCTTGGATGGGCAGGGCTTCCATCTTCAGTTGGCCGCAGGTTCTGTGGTTTGTGGAAGAGACCCCTCCAGGCTGTTCCCACCCCATGTCAAAAGAGGCTGCCAACATACCAGGGTCGCCTGCAGAGAGTGTGTTTTGTAAAATAAGAGGGGTCAGAGCAGGCCGGGGGGGGGGTTCCTGGAAACAAGCTACCAAGTGACTTTTTTGTGGCAGTGGAAAGTTTCCCTGATTGGGAGCAAAGCTGGGGGACTTGGGCGATGAGTGAACGGCCCCATTCCCCCCCCCCTCTTCTGGCAGGAATGGCACCTGAAGTGTTCCCACTATTTCATCCTGGTCGCATCGAAAGGAGAGGAGTTGTGTCGGGCTCCTGCGTTTCCCGGCGTGGAAGAGAAAGGTGCAGTAACCTCCTGATACTCCATCGGGCTGGTGAGGCTGAGAGCTGCCGAGGGGTGGCATCTCCATGTGCATGTGGGCGGGAGGGGGGGGGGAGATCTCACCCTCTTGGGCTGAGAGCTCTGGCAGGCCAAGGTTTTTTGGCACCCTAGGCAAACTAGGACAAGTGTCAGGTTCTTGGATAAATCAGTTCCCAGCAACACTCATTCAGAAGAATGCAAAGTTTATTGAGACATTGATAGGATCCAGCCAGTACACTGGCTGTATTAGAACTGAAAGCAATAGATATACAAGGTTCAAACAAGGACCCAATCACCCCCAGGTATTCCACCCGCCGAAACCAATGGCTTCTTGTTCCCACCTTGGTGCCATCCCTCCAGCACATAGGCAAAAGCCAGACCATGAAAGCTGAGCATAGAATCACAGAATCATAGAATGTTAGAGTTGGAAGGGACCTTGCAGGTCATCTAGTCCACACCCCCTGCACTCTGCAGGAGCAGAGCCGAAAGACAGCCCTACAACATACCCGAGAGATGGTCGTCCAGCCTCCTCCGCTTGAAAACGTCCGAAGGAGCCTCCACCACCTCCCGAGGCATGATAAGCATTACTCTACATCAAAGCATCTAAAACCGAAAGCATTTGAAATTCACACTCTCTTGATCCCTGTCCCGACTTCTGTGGCAACAGAGCAATAGAATGGAAGGCAAGGTTGACAGACAGGGCTCCGCTGGGAAGAAATGGGAAGTCCTGACAGGAGGGCTACTCTGATCCTATCTCGGTGAAGAAGCTCCTCATCAGCCTTCTGCATTCCAGGCCTTCTGCACCATCGTTTCCCCTGGACGCTGCCCCTCCCCCTTTCTGCGCTGATTTCAGAGCGCCGGATAACAGGCATGGCTAGCCGAGAGCGGCAAGCAGGCCATCGAAGTTCAGCCTGAGAGAACTCAGCATGCCTCCAGGGCACTCTCTTCCCTTCCCCCAGGCAAGCCGTTGCGTGTGCCCACACCTGACGAGGGGCTCCTCCGACTGTTTTGGCTCAGGGCTGCTGGATCCTTTCCCTGGAAGCCCCTTGCCCCCCCCCCGGAGCCTGCGCTTGGTAGGGCTGCAAATCAAGACAGCACTCCGCATCCCTCCCCAAGTGGGTTCTTTCACCTAGATGTACCTTGGTGTCTTGCTATACCCTGAATCTCAGAGAACTGACCCAAAGGTCACCTGAGCCAAAAGGGGTCACAAGCACAACAGTGTAGACTTTTCTTAACTACTGATGGAATCCCTCAGCCCGATCCCCAGGCTAAGAGCCACGCAGGGCAAGATTGCTTTTAACTCTGGCGAGGAGGAGGAGGAGGAGGAGCCTGGCACTTCGAGGGCTCACTGCCCCCCCCCAAGAGCCACAGCCGCAGCAGAGGGCGGGGCCAGCCACCCACCCCAGGCAAGCCCGGCCGATCCCCAGGCTAAGAGCCACGCAGGGCAGGATTGCTTTTAACTCTGGCGAGGAGGAGGAGGAGGAGGAGCCTGGCACTTCGAGGGCTCTCTGCCCCCCCCCTCCCAAGAGCCACAGCCGCAGCAGTGGGCGGGGCCAGCCACCCACCCCAGGCAAGCCCGGGCCCTCCCCTCTCTCAGCCACAAAACACACACACTGAAGCAACCACTGAAACCCCTCCAGCAGGGCTCCCAGCACCCACTCCCCCCCCCACACTGTTTTCTTACACAGCATCCACAGTTAGGGTAGGAAAAGCAAAGACTAGCATCCGCCTCACGCGCAGCTCTGTCCCAGCTCCTTCCCCAGCCCAGCTGACTCAACTGGGTTACAGGGGGCGTATCAGAAACACGGCCCAGTGACCGCCAGTGGGCTAGAGATATCCTGGGAACAGCCAGTGCGGGGCAGGTGTGGTTTCCTCTTGTCAAGGAGGGAAGGAGGTCCAATCAGTTAGGAGAGTTAAGGCTCTCACACCTCTCTGCAGAATCACTGTTAGTGGAAGTACGAGGCTTGAAAATTGGCTTCATATTGCGGGGGTGGGGGTTTGGCCAGATGACTTTAGGAAGGCGTCAGAGGAGAAAGTGTTGTAATAACTGGTCACTCCTACTGTCCTGCCACACTGATTGAGTCTTGGGCTGTGACTGAGATGAAATTTCTAAAAACCATAAGTGGCTGACCCTCCTGGAACTGACTGGCAGGGAGATGTCGTCATTCTCTGCAGTGAAATACGTGGCTGGGCACTGATTGGAAACCTTCCAGACGTGGCTTTTTGGTGGCACCCAGTACTCGCCTGAGGGTGGAGTGTTCTTGAACCCTGCCTCATTCCGAAGGGCCCCGGGAAGGTCAGAGCAGCGGCTTTTGAGTTTGGAAGGGAGCCGTGACGGGGTGGCAGACTGGGGCAAGGTGGTGGGTGAGGGGGGTCCACACAGAGGCCCGTGACCGGCCGGTTCTCTCCCACTTGCAGCGTTCTCGGGCTTTGCCGGGACAGTTGCTGCCTCGGTCTGCACTACAGACGCGGGGGTCACCGGCCTGAGACGGTACGGCCACCGCTCCATGCACATGGCACCAGATGTGATCCTTACCACAGGAGGTTTCGGCGACCATGGCGGGCGTCACTGCCGCCTGACTGATCTGCATGCCCTGATCAAACACGGAGGCAAATGGACCAACGGCAACGTCTGCCTGGCCAAGTCTGGGGAAGCCTGGGGTAAGTCCGGGGTGGGGGGGAGGGTCCAGCTGTGCTGCTGGTGGTAGTATGGCCCATGACCGTGGGTCGCTGCCTTGTTACCTCTCGGAGATGGTCTAAATTCATTAAGGGATGCTCTGGACCCCTGTCCCTCTTCTACCAAGGGGTGAGTGCAGCTGGCCTGGTTCCCCCTGGCCTGGTCCCCCGTGAGGGCGTTTTGAGAGAGCCCCTTCCCAAGACGGAGGCCTTTCGGAGTCTGGACGTGCCTGGCTGAGAGGGGCTGCGGAGGCCGATGGGAAGGGTGAGGGTGGGAGAAAGGGACGCAGAGGGTGTGGTGGGAAGCGAGCGGGGGGGCCTTGGCATTGCACGCTCGGTGAAGTATTGGGGCTGGAAGGACCCGAACAGCCCCAGGGCCAGAACTTGGGGGTGTCCCTGCAAACCAGAGCAGAAGACCACAGCTGCCGAAATGGCTGTGCCTACCTCCTGTGCTGTCGCTGGGGGGGGGGGGCAGGGGGCTCGCTACCTCACTGGAGAGACCACCACCCCCGTGACCCGCCGGCTTCCCCTCGGTGCCTGCCTGAAACCTGAGCTTCCTTCCTTCCTGCCTCTTGCAGATGGGCGGTTATTCCACACCGTGACGCTCCTGCAGGCGGGCTGGGCTGTCGTGGTGGGGGGGCGCCTGTCTCCGGTGAGCCCGGCTCTGGAGATGCGTCGCTTGAGGATGCTGGAGGCGGACTGCTCCTCAGCCCCCCCGAGCTGCCTGGCTGTGGAGCTCACTCGACTGCCGCCCGTTGAGGACCTGGCCTTGCCGCGCTGGAGACATACAGCCACGGAAGTCGTGCATCGAGGTAAAAGGTGGCTCCTTTTGGAGGAAGGGCTCGAAGGGCCAAGAGGTGGTGCTCTGTGTGATCACGTCTCTGCAGGGAAGGGAGCCTGGGTATTGAGTGAAGACGTGCCGGGGCACCCTTTAAAAGCCCTCGTGTCGTTTGCTCTCTGCTCAGTAGGGGGAGGGGGGTCTACATACAATGACGTGGTGGTGGGGGCAGTTGAGTCTCCCCCTCCAGTGTTCCCTCTGAGCTGAGTTAGTGTGAGATAGCTCACAGTTTTTTAGACTCCAGCTCACAGATTTTCGCCTTCGCTCAGGAAGGATGGGGCTCCAGAGCAAACTGATTTATGCAGCAGCCAAACTGCTTGCTCACCATTTTAATGCCAGGAGCTCACAAAGCAGAATTCTTGCTCATGAGACTCCACAGCTTAGAGCGCTGTCCCCCCCCCCCCCCCAGTAATCCCCTTGTGTCCGTAAGAGAGAGTCGTGCCCCTTGGCCGCGAGGTGTGCCCCTAATGGCAGAGCACCTGCTTGGCACGCAGAAGGTCCCAGGGCCAGTCCCCGGAATCCCCTGTGGAAAAAGGGTCCAGTGGCCTTCCAACAGGGTGTCTTGTGGCCACCGTGGCACCTCCCAACACCTTTCCCGTGGTGCCTGCCAGACATGTTTAGAAAGTGGGTGGGTCTGGGGGCATTTTAGCTAGCAAGTAAGAACATAAGAACATAAGAGAGATGGGTTAGGGTGTCTGGAGACTTGATTGGTCATGCAGATCTTTAAGGACGCTGCTTTGACAGACGCTGCCGACACATCGCAGAGTTCTTTACTTTATGGCTGAGGGCAAGCGGCTGCAGCCATTTCGTGCCTGGCCCCCACCTCCTCCTCCTCCTCCTCCTCCTGGAGGCCGCTCCCACCACTCTGTGTCGGGATTCCAAAGGTGCCCCCAGGCTCAGAAAGGTCGGGGGGAGCCCCCTGGAGCAGGTGCTGCGTGAGGCCTCTGCCTGAGACTCTGGGGGGGAGTCAGAGGAAGCAGTGAGGAGGTGGGCCGGTTTGTGTGGCTGGACTCAGTGGGTGGAGGAGGCTTCTTCGTTTAGGGCGGGGCCGTTGCTCAGCGGAAGAGCCTCTGCCATGCTCGCAGGAGGGGTTCAGTCCCCAGAATCTCCAGTGGAAAGGCTCAGGTCTCAGGCAAGGTCCCTGTCAGGCCAAGGAGACAATCATGACCTTGAGAGACCGGCTGTCGGGTTCTGGCTGAGGCAGAGTCGTAGCAGGCTGGCCTAGTCATGGGGCCATGAGCGGGGGTGAGAGTTGGGTGCATGTGGCTGGGCACGTGTGTGGGTACGAGGCCGGGGTGGGACGTGCCTCTGCCCTCTGGTGCTCTCCCTCCCGCTGGACTCCACTGCCACCACACCCTTTGCTGTCCTTCTAGGTGAGAGGTACCTGTTCATTTACGGTGGCTGTGGCCCTGGGCAGTCTGTCTGGGCAGACTGGCTCTTCCTGCACGTGGAGGAGCTCCGTTGCCGACAGGTATGGGTCCAGGTACGGGGCCAGCTCCTCCTCCTCCTCGGGAGGGCTGCTGGGAGGCTGCTGTCAGGGCCAGGGCCAGTTAGCCCCCCCTCCACCTCCCTCTGGAGCTCACCCGCGGGGGGGCCAGCAGCTCAGCGGGAGGATGGGGGAGTCTGTTGACTGACCCCTCGGAGTCTGGTTGGCTCACTGGCAGGTGCCCCCTCCCGTTTGCTCTCTCCTGGGCGGGTGGACAGGGGAAGTGAGGCCGGGGAGGGAGGGAGGGCCCCTGGCCTCCGGCCTCCGGCCTCCCTTTCACTCTTCTCTTCGCCATTTGTCTGACTGTACAGCCCCGCGTTGAGGACTGTGCCTGCGCAGGCCTGCCGCCACGGACACAGTTCTCAAGCCTAAAATTCCTAGAGCTGGGGCGGCCCACTCCGGAGACAGTCGTGCATGCGCAGGTTTTCCCTGTGGGGAATGCCTGCCTGTCCGTCCCCCGGTGGACCACATTCCCATGTTCCCTCAGTTCCTTTCTCACTGCTGCGTGAGTTGGATCTCCTCTTGCCTTCCTCGTGAGTATCCTTCCCAGGTCCTGTGAACAACCACAACAGACTCTGGCTAGACTTGAAAACAAAGAAGGACTTTGGCTCGACTTTCGAGTCTGAGGGGGCTCTCACCCTTTTTGGTTAGGATGCCTTCTAAATCTCTTCAAAAAGTGCTCCCACTGCAGCCTTAAAAGGACCAGGACCGATGAGCACGGATATTGCGCCTCCTTTGCCGGGGGGAAGAGGGCACAGTGTTTCTGAGTGCCAACAATTCATGCCCAGGGCACACATCCTGACTTAAAGCGGCACTTTTGGGAAAAGGTCTGTCTTCTTCTTGACTCGAAAAGCTGAGCGCTAGCCCTCCGTCTTCTGTATTGGTACCAACTTTGGCACCACGACTGCCCCAGAGTCCGAAGCCTCCATCCGTGTGTTCTGTTCTGACACCGGTTCCTCAACTGGAACACGTGAGAAGACTGGCCCTCCCTCAACGTCTGACCACACACACAAACGAGCGATCTCCGTCTCCTCACTTGCGCGAAAGCAGCTCATCGTCCGAGCCTCTCCTGCGAAGAAGCACAAAAAGGCGAAACGCAGTGACCACAGTTCCCACCTGGATCCACAGCATGCTTTGTCGGTTATCCTGCTGGTACCGAGGACACCTTCTCTGCCTTTGGGGCTAGGTGGCCGGTATGGCCCCTTCCAACGCTGTGATTCTGTGGTTCGCTCTCTTCTGTGGTGGTTGCAAAATTCTGATCTCTTGTGAGGCCTGCCTTTTGGGGTTTGGACTCCTCAGGTGACAGTGGCCACGGAGGCCTCTTCTGTGGGCTGGGGAGCACCCTGCCTTCCGCCTGTCACGGGAGACAGACAGGAAGGAGAGGTCCGTTTGGCCCTAACTGCCTTTGCAGTCCTCATCCAATCGGACAACACACCTCCACAGTCTGGTGCATCAGTGGACCGTGGGGCACGGGTTCCCTTCCCCTTAGCGGGGAGGCTCAGAGTCTGTGGGAACGCGCCGTAACGCTTCAAGCCACTCCCCCTCGTGCTTATTCATGTAGCAGCAGGTGAGAAGAACATGGAGGCCGACAGATACTTCAGAAACGCTTATGATGGGTTGAGACAACCGAACTATCTACTAGCTGTTTTCCAGCTATGGGGGTTTCCCCAAGTAGGCTTGTTTGCTTCTACCGTGTCCTCGCAGCCCCCCCCCCCCCGAGAATTCTGTGCCTGGGGAGGGAGAGGGTCAAGACTCACCAGGGGGCGCTTTCCAGCTGCCGTGGTTGGAGTGCCCCATTTTACACATTCTCTCCTTTCCCATTAGTGGGAAGAGTGCTGGGGAAGATGAAGGCTGATTGGACCAACGCCATGCTCATCACACCCTTTTGGGCCAGGCAGATTTGGCTTCCGGAGCTGCTGGGCCTATCCTGGGGAAATTCTCTGCCACTACCAGGAGTTCTGGACCTGCTGACACAGGGCCCCGCAGGCTAGGAAGCCATCTACGAGGTCTCCCTACTTTAGAAAATGGTGTCTTCCCAGGACTGGGTAACACAACAACAGTGTTGCCTGTTGTCCCATTTCAGTTATTTTGCGGTACCATCTGTTTTTAGCCCATGCGGAGATATTAGTGTCTTCAGTAAAGGTGCATTTGGCCGCAATTTCTGCCCTTCGTGGTAAGGTTTTAGGTCATTTTGTGTTTGCATGCAGACTGTCGCAATGTTTCATGCAGGGACTACTGAAGAAGTTTCCCCAGTTACCATGCGTGATCCATCACTGGCCGCTGACCTTAGTCTTGACTGTACTGATGAATGCCCATTCAAACCTTTGGCTCCGTGTTCACTAGCCCATTTGCCATGGGAGGTAGCCTTCCTGGTAGCAGTTACCTCAGCTAGGAGGGTGAGCGAGATTTCTGCCTTCAGGATGGATCTACTGTACCTTAAGATATTTGCTGAGATGGTGGGTCCTGCACACCTATCGCAAGTTCCTTCCTATGGTAGTGAGCAAATTTAATCTAGCTCAGGAGGTTTGCCTCCCGTTTTTTGCTTCCCGACTCAGTCTTCTCAGGCGGAGACAGTGTTGCATACGTTGGATCTTCATAGAGCCTTCCTTTATTATCTAGGCAGAACTAAAATGTTTAGGAGTGTCAGCTAGCTGCCATACTTTCTTTGCTTTCTTTCGTCCCTGACCTTATCGCATGCTTGCTTGCTTAGCTTAGCTGCCGTGAGTAACTGCAAGGAGAGATGCAGAAGTGGGGAAAGCCGTGTTGCATTCCTTGTTCAGCTGAGAGCGTCCTCCCCCCCACCCCCGCCGCCGGTGAGAGGCTCAGTAACGGTCCCAGTGTGGGGCTGCACAGGAAGACAGACGATGAAAACGTGGCGGCACTTACCGTAACTCTTGTCCACCCACGCCTTCTTTGCAGACACACGCTGCTCCCTTCCACCTGCCCTGCTGGGAGCCCTCTCAGTTATGCTTCTTATGTTTTTCATGCGCCAGGGTGAGCTCACGGGGGTGGCTCGGCGGGAACTGAGGGAATGGGGATGGTCCGCAGGGGGTAGATTGGCATTTCGGGGGGGAAACCCACGTGTGCACGGTTGTCTCTGGAGCAGAGACCGCCCCAGTTCTAG